TATATAGATATATATATATATATATATATATACAATATTTTAAAATATTCTATAAACATAACTTTTTAAAATAAAAAGCGAGAATACTTAATGAGATATAGAATTGTTATTAAGTATTTACACATACATATACATATACATATACATATTTTATTAAAAAATTGAATAAATAATTCCATATATTTCATCAATTAATCAATTTTATTTTCAGAATTTATATCAAGTTACATATCAAGTATTAGTAGTTAAGCTAAACAAAGCAAAAAAATAAACTAATAATATATTATAAATTTTTTTGATGTAACAGATTATTTAATTTTATTAATTTTTATATTATTTTTTTTTTATAATATATGTTTACATGACATAATTAACATAATATTATTTTTGTTTATAATAATAATTTTAATCATGAAACCTTAAATATTTTTTATTATAATAAACACTTAAATTTTTTATTTTTTAATTAAAAATGTTTATTTAAATTTTTTATTTAAAAAATGTTTGTAAAGTTTTCTATGTATTAAATTATGTTATGTTATAAATCATGCATTTATTTTATATTGTTTATATATAAAAAATATTTAAAGTGTGAATTTAATAACAACTATTTGAGGATCTGTTTATATAAATAAAAAATTATAAAAATAGAATTGTAATATAAAATATCATGAAAAAATCATTAATTTAATTTATTAATATATATTATTAAACTTAGCTATTACAATGATTAAATATATTAACATTAATTATAATATACCTCTTAAATGTTCATCAGCAATATCTTTTGGTATCATACCATTATTATCTTTTATAGATTCAGCTCCGATAGAAATTAAATATTTTACAACATCAAGATGTCCACATGATGCTGCATAATGCAATGGTGTTTGTCCACCTTCATCTTGTGAATTTATACTTGCTCCTTTTTTAATTAATTGTTCTATAATTTTTAAATGTCCTCGATCTGCAGCCCAATGAATGGGTAATAAACCTTCTGAATCCATTTTATTTATAAGATTTGGTTCTTTGTCCAATAATTCTTGTACTTTTTCTTCTTGTCCTTCTTTTATCCAATCCAAAAAAGTTTTATCTACATCATTTATTTCATCTTCCATATTTATAAACCGACTAATAGCAACCCAATTACTAGATTCAGATTGTACATTTTCTTCCCAATTAGGATTAAGTTTAGTTAATTCTTGTATATAATTATTCATAGCATCATCACAACTCATGTTATTAAGACTTTTCCATGCTTCCCATTTTTGTCTTGCTTGCATTTGATACCAATTAGGTTTTGAAATATTACAAGGTCCAATTGTAGCTTGCTTGTATAAAGCATAAAATTTTAAAAGTTCTGCAGAATTTAATTCTGAAGCCAATAACTGTAAATAATGTGTTGCTTTATTGAATGTTTTTTCAAGACTCATTTTGATGTATATTTTGATATATTATTAATAATTGAATTTATGCTATAAATTATATTGTTTTGTCTATTACTTTATCTATTTTGTATATTTTCAAACTGTTTAATATTTTCCTCAAATGAATATTTAGTTTCTTTTGTAACATGTAATAACTCGCCTTCTAAAATATGATTCATACAAAGTACATTATTCATTTCTAATTTACTATAAAATTCTACAAAACCATGACCTGTACTTAAACCATTTTTATCAAATATAACTTTTGTATTCTTTATTTTACCAAATGTTGAAAAATATTTTTCAAGTTCGTAACGAGAAATTGTCCATGGAATATTACGTACAGAAATCAAATATCGATTAATCATGGCAAAAATATTTAAGCTGCACGTTGTATACTTAATAAATGAATTGTATGATCTTGCATTAATTCATGTATATTTATATCAGAATCTGTGCCAAGTCCAGCTAATGATATATGGGTACAAGTAAGATTCCATTTATTTAATAGATGTTCTATTGTCCAATCTGCACTTCTTTCTTGATAGGTACATAAAAATTTTGCATTTGGATTTCTTTCTAATAAGAATGCCACTGTAACAACTATATCTTCAAATAATGCTGGTTCATAAAAACAATCAGAACCAAGAATTAAATCTAATGGTCCAATTGAAAATAAACTAGACAAAAATAAACCCCATGTAATACCAACAATTTGAACTTGAGATAAAATACCATTTAATTCGCAACTTCTTCTTATATGTTGTAGACTTCTAGGAAAATTAGCAGAATCACTTAAAGTTACTATAGCACCACATTTACTAGCTAAAATTCCAGGAAGAGCTGTACCTGAACCAAGTTCCAATACTCTTTTCCCAATAAGTTCTTCTTTATGTTCCCAAAGAAACCAAGCTAATACAGGTGCTGAAGGCCATGTATAAAAACTATAATTAGCTTGAAGTTGCTATAACAAGAAATACATTATTAATAAAATATTAAACAAAATATATTTAAATAGCTTATTTAAATTTTATTTATTCATAATATAATTTAAATGATTCATAATATAATTTAAATGATTTAAATAGTATTTAACAATTTTTAACATTTTAATATTTTTTTATTAATTAAAATATAAATTAAATTACAAAATATTATTTTATATTATTTCATGGAAAAATATGAATTATTAGATAACATAATTTTTGAAATAAATATTTTTGAAAAATGTATAACCAAACTGTATGGTACATATATAATAATAAAAAATGATTATAATAAATAATATAATTAATAAAAAACTTTATTACCTCCGGAATATAAATCTCTAAACTTTCGTTACACTGTACGTTATCTTGAGTTTTACGAGAAGTGAACAAAAATTTTTTTATTTGCTCGGAAACGATTCCATCGGACATTAGGCTGTGCGTAGGTGGACTTGTATTGCGTGGAATACTTTCTTCTAAACCTGGCATGACTAATTATCAAGCCGTTTACACTAGTATCTATTCATTCTGATCGTAATTATAAAGTTGTCACTAGAAATCATAAACTTAAAATTTTCTTTGTCTGCAAATAAAATAAAAAAAAAATATAATCACTATTTTGTCCAGAGTTGTCGATTCACAGTACAATAGAAAATACAAACGTATAGATAAATTTAAATTTTGAAATGGCGGGAATAAGTTTAAAAAAAAATTAATTATAATTATAATTTATCATGATGAAAATAAATTATTATTATTTTTTATTTTTCTCTTTTTGAAATTTTAATTTTTTTTATAATATATATAACGTACATAATAATATAAAAAAAATAATAAATATCATATAAAAAAAATAAATAATATAGATAATATGTATTTAATATGTATATATAATATATTTTTAAAAATTGAAAAAAATAATGATTTTTACTTTGTTTTATAAAAAAATTAATTTTTATTTTATCATTTTTAATTATTTATGTTAAATATAAAAGATATATATTAAATTTTTAATTGATAAAATGATAGAATATTAAAAAAGATATTGTATTATATAATACTTTTGGTTTTAATTGTATTAAATATAATCTTTAATCATTTTTATATTATTTTTAATATTCCATCTTTTATCCAATATTCGATTATTATTATTTATAAATTTATATTGTACATTATGTTAGTATATAATGTTTTTTATTGAAATGAGTTTATAATAGAATGAAATGATAGACATATTTTTATATAAAATATTAATATATTTTTTTTTATACATATAACTTTTCTAGCAAAATATATAATATATATGTTATTATTATTATATTATAATATAATTATAATATAATATAATATAATAATATATATTATAATATATTTTAAATATTAAAACTATATTCTATTTTTTTAGAGACTAAATTAAATAAGACTAAAATTAAATATCATGATGTTAATAAAATTATTTAATAAAATCGAAATGTTTTTAATATAGAATATATTTTTTTAATTTTAATATTTATATACTTGAATGATATTTATACTTTAGAATGATATTTATAATTTTATATAGTTACAAATTTAATTTAATATTAATTTTTTTAAAAAATAATATTTGTAATTATATGTGTATTTATTTTATATATTTATATATTTTATATATTTTTCTCTTTTTTTCTCTATCATCTATCTATCTATTTATCTATCTATTTCTATATCTATCTATCTATCTATCTATCTATCTTTTTCATGTTTTCCATTACAGTTGATCAGTAAATCAAAAAATATATTATTAATGACATTGAATAATTTACTATTATTATTATAATAGATTTAATAATTATAAATTATCAATATAATATTTCTATTATTTTAGATAAGTATGTATACTTTATATAGTGCTATGCTGCTGTTTAATCGGTTTGATTAAAGATGGAGGAGACTAGCAATGAGAAGTTTCTGTCAAGGAGGCGTTCTGCTGCTCTTAAAGCTTTCAAAGTTAAAGACGAACGTGTTGCAACTTTTAAAAAGGTACATTTATAATTTTTAATATATTTTATTTGATCATAATTAATCAATAGTAATTTTTTTTAATTTTTATTTATTTCCCGGCATTATTTTTGATCCATCATAAACAACTATGAG